CTTCCAATCCAAACCATTCTATGATTCTATGATTATATATATATATATATATAAAGAAAAACAGATTCTGAACAGATTAAGAAAAATACCCCCATAGTAAATAGGTAGCAAAAGTAGTATCAGAAGATGCAGGATTTGTGCCTTGCTTCTACATGCTATGTATTTGTATAACCAATAACAACTTCTCTTTCAACCTTCACAGATATCTCCGCCAGTTGTAGAAAAATCTGTTCTTGAAGAGACAACACATTCCCTTAAGGACAGTGTTATATATCTGAATTCTCTGATAACCAGTGGTGCTACTAGGAGAGATGACATCACATTCAAACCCAGAAAAGTATGTACAGCAGCAAAACATGAACAGTTTCACATTAATTTAAAGGTAGACCTTGCTGTAGATCAAAACCCAGGACAATCTGAGGAAATTACTTCACAGTTCAACTACCTTCTAGATGATGTGATACAGGCTAGAGAGATTGCCACAAAATAACAGTAAAATAAAGGGTTCATTTTAGGTGTGTATACGTATTATATACACACACATATATTTATATAAAATAACTTAGCTTAGAAGTCAAGCTCTTCTCAGGTTTTAAAATAGGATTAAATTGGACCTGCAGTAAAATACAAATACATTCATGGTATGAATTTTTACATTCTGACACTTAAAGGATAGGAGTCTTTGTGCATGGGACTGGCACCAACTTCTAACTTGCCACCTTAATTAATTATCATGTGATTACTTATGTCAGTGACAGTTACTGAACTAAATGGATCACAGTACACTAACTGTTTACTTCCTAAAGTTAGAATACTGAAAATATTTTTTTATCAGATACTTGATAGTACTCATATTAAACAGGGAAAATAACAGAGAAACAGAAGATCAGAGAGAAGTAATTTTTTTTTTCTCTCCCTGAAAGGGAAAAATAACACCATTGCTGACTGAGAGGTTTTGCTTGGAGTTTGTTTACTATTTCCCTAACCCAATTTGTGCTGGTTTCTGCAATGATCTCAGGGGAAGGCTAGTTGCCAGTGACTCTACAGCTAATTACTATTTTCCACTCTGAGGATCTTGGGCCTGAGTCAGTCATTCTAAACAATTAGGTCTGGATCTTCTTTCCCACATTATCCCTTATCTGAGCCCATGGCACATTACACATTGGAAGTGACAACAAGAGAATGCTCTGCGTATACAGACACAAGTTGTTGTTGTATCTTCTGCTGGGAGGCCAGACTAGTTTTCTTCTATGTCTCAGGATGGAAAGGAGTGCTGGAATATGGCTCTGTTTGGGTAACAGTATCTTCTTAATGCTTCAGTTGGTGAAATAATGTACAAATTAACTACAAATACCTTTGTTTTCTAGATTTGGGCCCCTGATGCTGCAACAGAGGAGTTAGTAAGAAAGCAAGAATTGCTCCGTGAACGCTCTACTCTTGATGGCCACTCAGAAAGCTTCACGACCCCCTTTAATAGAAAATTTATGGAATAAGCACATCAGCTGGAAGAAGCTACTTCAGCATGTATTTTGAGGGGACAACAATCTAAAAGGCTATTCCTCTGTAAGGAATGAATCACACAGTGCTCAGTAAATGTATCTCAGTTATGGTTAAAAAAAAAACCGTTGCAAGTTTTTCCTCTGTAGATTACGTTACTTACTCACAATCTTTTGTTGAAGCCTTAGTCTGGAAAAAGGTTTATCTGCATGTGATTCTAAATCTTGGCTCAAGGTTGTTCATGGAACAGCCACTGCTGTGACACACTCATACCCTTTTTCTTTATAAACGTATGGCTTTATAAGGTGATTTTTCACCACAACATAGAACTTCTTCCTGGAAGATGTAAACGTTACCTGTTCTGCTAAAAGAGTATTGAATATAAAAGTTAGGAAGATAGCATTCAGAAATTAAGACACCAATGTTCTTGATTGTCTGCAGAGGCAACAGAAAGTACAGAATTTACAACCAGGACTACTGTCTAGTTTACTACTTTCATGTTCTCTCTCACACTTGCGAGAGTGCACACACCTTTCTCCTCACTCACTGAGATGTATTCCCATCAACTGCAGTGCTGCAAAGCTGTTCTCAAGACCTTTAGATATTTTTGGCAAAATTGAAAAACATTCAGAGATTTTGTGAGTGGAGGTTCTTGTATGAAGAGCTACATCTACATCTAACCTAAATCAGAGCTTGCTCCCACAACCACAAAGTCAACAGATACTGTCCCTGCCATTTTAGCGAGTTCTTTGGGTGGGAAGGCACTGGCGTCTTAGAAGTTACCTGACCAGGCTGCAGTAATTTAGTTTGAAGAAAAGGTACTGGACATTCATTATAGGAAGTGGATAATGTCAAGATTTGTGTGATAGGACCAGGCCAAACCAACCTGTGTTCTGCTGAGAGACTTGGTGCCTCTTGAGTTCTGTTGATTATCTCTGCAAAATGGTTGGCAGCAGAGAAGTGAGCCCAATTTGGAGCTTCAAAAAGGCAGTAACAGGTGCTAAGTTTTGGGTAAGCAGAGGCTGGAAATACTGGGAATGTTTAGCTTAGAAAGGAAAGAAGTGGGAGGTAATGCCATAAAATATATATCTAAAGAAGTAAAGAGTGTGGAGAAGTGAACTGAAGCCTCCTATCTATTCTTTCACAGGATGCAGGAACATGCAGACTACAGAGGTAAAAAAAAAAAGAAAGCAGCACACACATTAAGAACTCTACAATGTGCAAACAGCCTGTGGAACTCTCTAGCTCAATTACCCTTGGAAACTTAAAAAGAAAATAAAATGTTTACACAGATTGTAAGAAGAGTCTAGTTAGCTAACACATAAGGGATAAAAATCCCTTGTGTTTCAGGACCTTGGCTAATTACTGTTGCACATGATAGTTTCCTAGCAATGCAGTTCATGATTGTATAGTGTGGTGATGTGTGTCCCTTAGGAGAGAAGATGACGCTGGGCTAGACAAACACGGTAAATTAAATCAACTTCTGGTTTGAGAATATCCATTCTTCAAATTTATTTTAACATTGTGAGACTCCAAGAGCTGTCTGGCTCAAGAGTACAGCTACTTTTGAAAATTTGTTTTCAAACATCCTCTTTTTTTTAACTGCAAGTCTTGAATTCCAGGACCTGAGCTCCAGACTGGGTTATTTCCTTCTGGTTCAGCATTTCTCATAATAAGAACCAAGTTTTGCCCTTTTTGATGCGTGTGAGATGATATTCCCATGCCTGGATTTGCCTATGTATGAGGAGAGCAGAGTGGAAGACATGTTGGGGAAAGCCTTGAAGACACCACCACTGCCTATATGACACTGCATCAATCCCTTTTTAATTCTAGTTGCACATCCAAATGTAAATGTGATATTCAAAACCCACCTGGATGCCTTCCTGTGTGATCTCATTTAGGTTCCTGCTCCAGCAGGGGGATTGGACTAGATGATCTTTCGAGGTCCCTTCCAATTCCCAACATTCTGTGATTCTATGATTTAGTAGATAACCAAGACAAATGCAATGCAAGGACATATATCTAGCAAAGTTATTATTTGTGTGAGCTTGGTTGTGCACAAGTAGTTTGTGCATTGGGAAAATATCCTGATACATCTAGCATTTTAATAGTTTAGTATAAAGAAAGATTTTACAAGCAAGTGGGATACCATTTTAAGTTTCAGCTGTCTTGGAATTCTTAATACCAGTATATCAGCTTTGCCTGTCAGCATAAAAATTCTGCTGGCTGCAGATGATCATAAGTAACAAAAACAAGAGTGTTAAAGCTAGTCATAGAAGACAGCACAGGCAAGAAGCAGGGTGCCCATGAACAACTGTAAATAAAACTGCATCTCTAAAAGGAGAGGCATGGGGTCAATTTGCTGAACAGTAGCCATCAAAATAAAACCAAGCAGCACAGTCAGAAGCTCCTAACTAATTGTATAAGGTAAAACTGTGTTTCTGGCAGAATTATGTCATGGAGATTAGCTGGTAGACTTCTCTGCTGCTAGAGCCAGTTGCTCAGCTCTCCTCTCAAGAAGTCCCATGGAAGTACTTCTTCCTTGGGTAACTACTGCTGCATTAAGGCATGGATCATTCTCTGCTGGCTGTGTTGGTTAGGGTAACTGTAAGCAGGTTGACAAGAACTTGAATGCTAACCTGGCCAGCAGAAGTCTCCTCCATCAGTTCAGACCATGCTGTAGAATTAGGCTTGTTGGCAAGTAGAATCATAGAATGATTTGGATTGGAAGGGACCTTAAAGATCATCTAGTTCCAATCCCCCTGCCATCAGCAGGGACACCTTCCACTAGACCAGGTTGCTCAAAGCCTCATCCAGCCTGGCCTTAAACACTTCCAGGGAGGGGGCATCCACAGCTTCCTTGGGCAACCTGTTCCAGTGTCTGACCACCCTCACAGTGAAAAACTTCTTCCTAATATCTAATCTAAACCTCCCCTCCTTCAGTTTAAACCCATTTCCCCTTGTTTTGTCATTAGTTGTCCTTAGGAGAAGTCCTTCCCCAGCTTTCTTGTAGGCCCCCTTCAGGTATTGGAAGACCGCTATAAGATCTCCCCGGAGCCTTCTCTTTTCCAGGCTGAACAACCCCAACTCTTTCAGCCTGTCTTCATAGGAGAGGTGCTCCTCTATGCCATAGATAACAGAGAGTAGCCTCCGAAAAGGTTGTTTGAAGAAGAGAGCACTGAGAGGAGGACGTGTTCCCACAGGAAATCCGTAACAAGCATCACCCTTTTTCATCCCAGCCAGCGTGGGCTGCAGACTCAGTTTTTACACGTTGTCCCACAAAAAGACAGGCTGAAAAGCTGCACATCAGCTGTATGCAACATGATGGCCAAGTAGAGAGAAACAATTGTGCTTCTTTGGCTTGCTGGCTTCTCCATAGCTGGCTGCCCAAAGAGTTGTCAGATGTGTCTCACAGGTTACCACCTCATCTCTCATCTCGCCTGCAGCCTGGGCCTGGCTTTCTGCAGGGACACAGCACAAAATGACAGACGAGGAGAGATGAAGGATCACTGCATGTGACACAAGGTTAGCTGCTCGATCCTGCGCAGTTGTGAAGACAGTTCATTTTGTGCAAGAGAAGAAACAGTTGGCAAAGTTACATGAGGGACATTACACAGGATCCCCTGTCCCAGGGATTTCTGTCCCCACTCCCAGTTGTTTTCACAGGCTAGTTTGGCTAGTGCTTTTTGCTGCTATTTTGAGGGCTATGGTATTGCTTAGGGCTTTCCAAGTCTGTTCCAACATTAAGTTCTTATCAACTCAGTGCTGTCTGTTGAGGGTATCAAATGATAAATGGTGTCATTTATGACATCTATTGTCATAAATTGTTATGGTGTCATTTATTTAAATGATAAATGTATGTCTGAACCTTCCCTATAGTTCCTGTATTCATTCTAGTGAGAGAAAGGCAGTGCTATTTGTGTGTTTATTTACAGATTGAAAAAATAACTACCTTGTGGCATTTTCAGAGAACTGAGCATAATAAGCACCTAACACTGACTTTAGTGGTACTTTATATCTAACACCCAATCAAAAAAACAGTGCTCAGAAAAAAATTTTACATGAGTAGCCAACTCATTCAGGTCCCAGTGGCATAGAGGCAGATAACAGAAGAACAAACCGAGGGGTTTGGCTAGAATCAAGAGGAACCTTTCAGGATTTTCCTCCTCAAGGGTGGTGATGAGTATGTGTGACTCCCCACTCGTACAATACAAGTGGAGTAGGAGAGTCTGTTGCATGGAGTACCGATAACAGTGTAGGAAGTTTTTAGGGGTGTGAAAGCAGATGTCACAAGGGGAGTCAAGGGATAAAACTCCAGAGTTTAAAACTGCCATCAGCAGAAGGAAGGGTATTGAGTAAAGAGCTAGGGAGCAAGCTGTGTAAAGAGTCTGTGGTGATGGTCACGGAAAAGCTGAGTGATATTGAGTGGATACTGTCAAAGGGTACCAAGTGATAGAGAGAGACACCTCAGTAATAGAGAGCTAAGCACCGGTCTCCCAAGTGAGAGCCCCTTCTGGAAAGTTGAATCAGCTGAATGTCAGAAAATGTACCCAGAACAAGGAAATTTGCAGGTGGGAGTTCAAACAGATTATGACTATGACTCAGTCTCTTGACACAGGTAGCACAAGTGAAAAATAAATCAAAGGGGGAAACCAATGCAGAAAAAATAAGCAGGCAGAGGACAGCAACGCTGAAAGGAAAAGGAAAGATGAACTCTGCACATCTATACGACCTAAGACTAGATGAGATGTATAATAGCTTTGATTCCCAAGCAGGCTGTAATCTAGCCTTAGTCACCCTTTGCTATTTGCCTTTAAAGTTCAAGACACTTGTGAAGTCTTCAAGTATTGTTTCAAACTAATGCAGGTACCTCAGGCTAGCAGCTGCCAACACCCAAAAGCACTTCACATACCACTTCATTGCAGCACATAGGCAATTACATTTCTCATCTCCCGAGAAAGCTCCTCATTTCCAACATGTGCTATTTTAAGTTCAC